AAGACGAGCCCCGGTTTTGCAGCGGCGGAGCCGGTGGTGGTGGCGGCGGCGGAGGCTGAGGAGGAGGAGGAGGAGGAGGAAGCGCGAGAGGCTGGTGGGTTTGCGTGCGGCGTTGTGGAGAGGTAGATGGCGAGGAGATGGTGGAGCGGAGGGAGAAGTTAAAGGTTGGATGCGGTAATTTATTATCCCTTGCAAAGGCGGGAGGAGGAGGAGGAGGATGAGGAGGAGGAGGAGGGGAGACGGGGGGTCTGGGAGACTTAAGGAATAAAATCAATCTGCTGCATGTTTTCCCTGGCGTGAGCTGCTTCGGTGAAAAGGCGAAGCGCTGGGCAGGAATATCGCAATCTTGGTGGTATTTATCGGCGGCGGTCTGGAAGAGGCGAGGGGTTTGTGCAGGAAGTGCATTGATAATTTGGGACATTTTCTATTGTGAGGCAGAAGAAAGAGGGCACCCGGCTTCCTTGATATGTGTTTGAAACTGTTCAGGTTCCTGCTGATGGTATGCAATTTTTGAAGGGGTAGAAATTATATCATAAGCATATTAAAATAAATACATCTGCAGGCTGGGAGGGTACCAAAATCGATCATTCCAGCCGCTTAGGAAAGAATTTGATTCTAGAAATTACGTAGAAATGAAAGGAAAAGATTAATGATGCTGCTAAGTCTGCTTTTGAATTGGAGCGCTTCTCCCTTTGGTTGCAGCAAGGTTGTTTTTTCAGATCCTTTTATTTCATCCGGTAATTTGTGAACTCTCTGGTCTTCCCCGCACCCAGAGACAATGCTGTGCATTTTATACAATAAGGATTCTGCCAAGGATTGTGCATGCCAACCGACCTGGCATTTATTAAGGATTTATTGACCTATGGGTGTCTCTCTCTCCCTTTTTCTAATTCGAAAAGGCTCAATCGGGGCACCTGTGACTAAATCATAATTTTTGAAGAAAAAAAAAAATGATTGTAGAGGGGTGGGGGAAGCATATTAATTTACTGGCGAGGTACTGAATGCAATAGGTACATTTATGTTGAATAGTGTATATTTCTCGCTACATACATGTGTATACATATAGAAATTGCTGGGAGGGATGCCTGCTGCTTAAGAGCCCATTTGAGAGAGAGATGTTAATAAATAGTCCTCTTTGGAGAATGAAAGTGTCCCTCTGCTCTGGAAATGACTAGACAAGACTGCTGGTTATTGACAGTGTGTGAATTATATCGGCAATAATAAATAAGCGATTGTTAGAGGGGTTTTTTTTATTATTATTGGGTCTTTCTCCTTTCTTTTTCAGTCTTTCCATCTCTCTTTTTTTTTTTTTTTTTTTTTTTTTTTTTTTTTTGGTGTGTGTGTGTGTGTGTGTGTGAGGGGGGAAGGCAGGCTCCGCAGCCAGCGGCGGGCAGGGATGCTCTGGCGGTGGGATCCCCGCTCGGCGGCTCCCCGCGGACACCTGTAGGGATCGCTCTGCCACGCACGGCGGGCGCGCACACACACGCACACACACACACACTCACACTCGCGTCCTTGCCCCTCTCTCTCCCCCCCCCACAACCGCGGGCTCCTGACACCCTCCCGCCCCACGCAAACCCCGCGCAGGGACGGCCTGCGCCCCGCGCACCTTGCGGCCCCCGCGGTTCCTCCCCACCCCCCGCGGGGCGCGCAGTGACCACACCAGCCCCACGCGAACGCACACACACACCACCCCCCCGCACCCCGCGCCCTCCCCTCTACACGCACACGCTCCTCCAAGTCACTTCTCA